GTTAAAAATGAACGAAATTTAAATGTAAAAAAAAGGTTTTAAAATTTGAAATCTCTACTTTAAGAAGAAAAGAAAAAAATATTTTGTTATACAATATTAATTAGAATACATCATATACGATAAGAATAATTTTGTTATTTTATTATGTTTTTAATTGTTATTATGTTTTAATGTTTTTAATATTATCTTATGTCTTACTTATAACATAATTCTATAGGAAGACTAAACAAATCTGACTTACACATTTCATTACAATTACGTGTAATATAAATTAATTATCAGTAATACTACATCAATTAGATTAAAAGATTACGACATTTAGGGTTGTTAAATAATTTGTATTTAAAAAATGAATTAAGATACACACACACATTTACAGCGCATATATACATCTGAATTTACATAGCCGCATATAACATAGATAATGCCGAACTTATTTTTTGGGTGCTTTGAATCAATAATTTATTATAGAAATTAATTTTCTATTCGTGTTTACATGATGGATAATAGTTAATCTTAGCAACAGATTGTTATTTATATTTGAACTAGACTCTACAATGTGCCTTAATCTTGGAGAATGTGTATAAAAAAAAAACAAATGTTTGGGCAGCCTATTTATGTCATACGTATGTTGTCATACGTATTGTCCAACAGGAAATACTTTATATTGGAAAACTACATTTTCTTTCTGAGGAGCACTCTCTTTGAAGTCTCCATATCCTACGTGATCTCAAAGACGGCATGCCTGAGGCAACACTCTCGCTCACCATAAAAGGGGGATGAAGTTTCCACGTTGTGCACGTGTAAGCAGCCGGAAATCCGGGGTTTCACGCCATAGAACCAAGAATGCATGATAACCGCGTGGTCAACTTTTTTCATTAAATCAAATTGAAGTATTTTGAAATTGTGTTTCTGACACTTTTATCAGTAATGCTTCCAATAGTTGCGTCGTATGCACATATATGAGCTATAAAACTGGAACAATTAAATTGTTACAATTTTTTTGTACAATTTAAGTACAATTACAACGAAGTGTATGAAAGTGTTTCCTTTCGATTTTAATGAATTTTATGCAAAACTACTTAACCCCTTTAGATCTGATTTTATTGAAACTATGTTAAAAAAATTTTTAATGCAATTCATGCGCATTTCAATAAAAAATTCATACTAAACAATTTTTTCCAAAATTTTGACTTTTTCCTGTATGTACATGATTATGTATGTATACATCAGATCTCAAATGATGTTCATAGGATTAAATCATTTTAACTGATAACGTTTTCAAATTTAATGTACATTACAATGTACGTAAGATTTGAAGGGGTTAAAATAAAAGATAGGGGAACCTGGGGTATAATGGTTATAGTTAGATTTTTTCAAGTTTTAAACATATTAAAGATAAATAAATCAACTTTATTATATATTAAAATATTCTTTGAAGTATTTACTATAAGGAAAACTTAAGTTTTACTGCAAAAGTATAGATTAACAGGACGAAATTATTGTTTTGTGAGAGTGTGTCGTAACTTCACTATGTCATTTATGCAGAGCATAATGGGGCACCACAGAAAACTTGTCTATTTTTAAAAAATTAATATTGAACATTGCTTAAAAGTGACTTACAAGTAACACTACCCAAATGCCACTCCGGGATTGACTTCTACCTATGCAGATTTTGTAAAGAATCGAAAAATATTTGATACGTATTTTTTTATTTCGGCAGACATGATGTTTTAAGGGCTGAAAATAGGGGTTGAAATATTAAATTTTTTAATAAACGGGTGTATTTCCGAATAATGCTGTTATGCGATCTAGCTGTAATTTGATATATTTATGTATTTTGATGTGCTTATTACGAATATGATAAAAAAAATTTAAAAAAAATTAAAAAATGGGTAAAAAAAACAAAAAAAAGGGAATATACACTCGCCACC